AAGAACAAATTCTAGAATATAATATCAATATGTTTTTTTCTACTGAAACCTTACAAATGATAATATTATGCTAAATGAAAATATGTTGCAAGATATGCTTGAACCATTCCATTTGATGATTCAAATCATCATTGCATATGATATCTCAAATTAAATCACTCACCAAAATGATGAAAAATTGATCCTACTTAAAATACATACTTAAACAAAAATATGATCCACTAATTATTTGCAAAAAATGTACGAATGTACTTATTTTATCAGTGTTTTTAATACAACTTATTTTCTACCATTTATACAAAAATAAAATTAAGCAATTTTAATTTGAAGTTAAAAATACTTAATTTCCACTATACAAAATTAAGATAATAATAAATCCTTAATGTTCAACTTACATGGCTCCAAGTTCACAAAATCCCTTATTATTTTTTTTATTGTTTATTTTACAGACACCTCTGTCTCACACATTTAATATATATATATATTAAAACACTGATTATCCCATTGAATCAACTTCTTCGTTGATATAAATGATTTCTTCCTCAAATCCTTCATTACACTTGGAAAAAACAGAATTCAAAACCACATGAAGATTGCCTATTTCATTATTGTCATAATCTTCACATAATTTTAATTTGTAGAAGTTTCAGCCTTGGGAAGATTTTGCCAATCCTTTTCACCTTTATGAAACCAATTAATCTAATATAATGATATAAAATTAGCCAAAAAACAAAAAAATATATTAAATGTACGAAAATTAATATGTATATTACCATTATTTTTTGTTTAGTTGGGATGTGGATAGACCCAGTTATCATCTTTAAAACATTCTGGCATTCTATAGGTTTTGTTAACGATTTTATGTAAATTAAAAATTTAAGATATATGGAATCTCTTCTAGAAATTGGAACACCTTTTGAATCATACAAAGTAGCTTCAATCTTTAATAAATCAAATTGATATAAAAGCTCTTTGCAATTTGTCACCACTTGATACAAAACAGAGCTCATGCTATCCCAACCTCCTAAACTATTTATTGTCTGTAATTTTCAATGAAACCTAACTTAATTAATAAACACATAATCTGCACTATTTAAGGGAAACAAATAAAGAAAATATAAAATCAACCTTAATTATGTCCAGTTTGTTAAAACCTTCTTTAAATTGCAGCAATTCCTGTTTATGTGTATTAATTACTTCATATTGAGAAATATAATTAGCCAAATCATTTTTTTTAAATGTATTTAAAAAGGACATCTAAAAAGAATATCCAATATGCAGTTAAAAATTGAATTTTCATATTTTTTATTACATTTGAAAAAATTTTTATCACTCTTTAAATCTTGAAACATGACAGCCCTTAAAATAAAAAATGCCATCTACTTTAATATCATTAGAAATTGACCATTCTTTTAAATCATCAATGTTTTTGAAGTCACCTGAAGGAGAATTAATTATTGATTCAACCAATTTGTCAACAACTGGAAACATTTCAGATACTATATCCTTGAATTCAATCTCTTTTCCAAAACAATATTTTAAGTGAAATGGATGTTATTAATTGAACCTAAAACTATTATTAATACTGATCAGCATAATACCTGATCCAAAAAGGCTGCCGGTCAAATTTATGATCTAATTAATTTTTTTTATCAATTTGAAATACCCCATTTTACATAAAGATACTTGAAATTTCTCACTATTTATTTTTACTACTCCAACTTTTACATACTAATACAGTTCTTTAGCTCTACCCTCTTTTTCCATGCTAGTTTCTCAATAAAAAAGCCAACTATACCATTTTATTAATAATACCAGTTCAAATATAATTGTCCAAGGTCCAATCTAACATATTTCGAAATTCATAATGCTTTTTGAATATCTGAACCTTATCATTATATATTAGCTGTACAAATTAAATTCTCTGTATCATTATAGCACAAGTCTTGTAAATAAAATTGCAGCGAGTTTTTTGCTCTAGAATGTTTGATTCCATTTTAAGATTGGAAAAAATTACATGTTGATCAATATTATGTGACTTGATATTTTGATTTATTTAATTAGACCATTAATTTATTAAATGTTTATAATAACCAATTCACCATAACTGAATCAGGAACACGTCTATGAGATTTATACAATCATGGCAGATCCTTTTTAATCCTTGTTTCTGCAACTTTCTTCTAAACTACTCTCATATCTTTAGGAGTGCCATCCCCAAATACAATTGACTAAGTGATGCCATCTCTCATTGCCGTTGTTCTCATCGCCACTTATCTTCTCATGCCCACCATAATAAATCTATTTTTATATGTAAATCCCATATGTGCAACCATCTAATTGCAGAACTGTCACTTATAGACATATATCATTTTCTATACCAAAGATCTGGCAAGATTTTATCTTTTATAAATTCCTGGAAATTGAACTCGCAAATATTTTGAAATTTTCAACTTTATATCTTCACCATAGATTGTTAGTTGACCTTACCTTTTGATGTTTAACTCATTTGGATGTTATCAATTTGCCACTTTTTAAATATTGCTTCCCACATGTTCTTATTAATCTTGTACACCAATGACCTTTATTTTAATAATATTGCTAGCATCCATTTATTTGTAACCTGAATTAAATATTGTGGATCTAATTCTTTTCCATTTTTTATTTTTTACTTATAATATTGATAAAGAAGATTCATCATTACTCAATCCTAGTACAGAATGCCTCTTGTTTTGTAAAGCTGATTTAGCATCGCCAGAATAAAACTAAATGTCTTTTCTTGGACAATGAGAATGCATCTGGTCTTGTAGAAACTTCTTTAAGAATCTCAAATGAATCTAGATTTGTTTCTTCTTCTATGACTTCAAAAGTTGCTTTTCCAAGCCTATATTACTCCATTCATCTTCACTACATGATTATTAGCTAAATCACTTTTTTCTTCTTCGTCATCTTTGTTTTCTTTGTTTATAATCATCAACATTTACAACAGTATCATTGAACAATAATTCATCATCAATATTTAAAACAGCATCATTGACATCATCATCGATTTCATCAATTTTTGTTTAAAGAATATCAAAAATAATATTTTGATTATGATTTTTACATTTGGATGGAAATGAGAAATTTGAATTTAATTTGGTCATGTGATTTTTACAAACTTCAGATATATTAAAATTAGAATTTTTTTTCACACTCTTTATTTGTTAATAATAATAAAATCTGCACGTGTAATATATATGTGTGTGTGCGTGTGTGTTGCACATATATAATTCTTTCCTAACAACACCATTCATATTTAGATTTTTCAATTTTTGGTTCAAGTTTACATGACATAAATATTATCTGTTTGCTGTTTGTTATAAAATCATTTAAACCACTATTCAAATATTTTATTTACACTAATTTTTATCTCCTGCCAAGAGTTTATTTATAGCTGTTTCATATTCTTTTATTGATTCTTCTGAAATTTTTATACCTTTTTCTTGTATTAATGCTTGTAATTGGTAATAATTGAGTTGCCTTCGTAATTGTTCGTTCTTATCTTTTAAAACTTGTGAATCAAATAACGTTGAAGAAAATGTTGTTGTTTCCATAGTATTTCTTAAACTGTTTAACCGCTCCAACAGTTCTCCATTTGTCTTCTTGAGGCTATTTATTTCCTTAACATTTTTCACGTGTTGCATTTCTGATCTCTCATTCAACTCCTTATATTGACTTTCATTGATCACTATTTGTTCAAGTTGTCTTCTAGTCACTAGTTCCAGGTTTTCAACATTATTCTCAAGCGGTTTTATCTCTGATTTGTGTGCTTTTATACTTTTTTCCAACAATACTAGAGCCCTTTGAGCTTCTTCTTTTTCTTCTTTCAATTTAACATGCAAAGAATATAAATATTTTAATTCGTGATCCATGATAGAAGAAGTGAATACACAAAATGTATGCATCCTTTTATTTGGTCAATAAGGTGATACAAATTTCAAAAAAAAATCTTCAACCATGCCACATAAAGAATGATCATCACTTACGTTTTCCATTCAACAACGTGTTTGTCTAAATCATCATCATATTCATTATCAAAGTATACAAATCCAGAACATAATGGAAGTTTTGATCTTATTAGTTGTAAAATTAGAACCGAAATTTTATGGTATGCGTAAATGTAGATCACAGAAATCAATCTAAAGGAAAAAAAATTTATATATTTATTTATTGACCATTACTGTTTCATTCTCATGCTACTGCTACTGCTACTGCTACTGCTACTGCTACTGCTACTGCTGTTTTTACTATTAATGCTATCATCTCTGCTTTTGATGTATTTATGTTTAAAAGTTAAACCAATTTCATAGAAAATGATATTATCCATTATATTATATGTATACTAACTATATAAATAAATAAACCATTGTAGTGAAATTGGGCTATGGTAATGCCATGGGTCATTAGGCCTGGTTCGCCATCTCCATTCAAGGTGGCGGTTTTTGTTTTTCAGTCAATGATGATATGTTATCATTGATTACGAGAAGAAAATTTAGTACATTAAGGAAAAGTGAAGATTTCAATGATTATGGTGTTGATTAAATAGCAAGTTAATGAAATGATCAAATAATTCTAGAAAAAAACTACAGATTGATAAAATATATATTATTAATATAAAGAGTAATAATTACAATGGTTCAAAGTAGTTTGCAGGGGTGATTGCTCATCAATGATTCCAAATAATGATTAACTCTTAAAGAAATAAAATTAGTCTTTGACGTTTTCACCCTGAAATATCTCTTTGTGACGTTATGTTCACTTTGTCTGGTTTTGTTTTGTGTTCTTTTATATTAGCACAACGAAGAAGAAATCGGATAGATTTTCTTCGATAGCCTTGATGGTAATAAAAAAAGGCCTACATAGAATGCTTACCTTCGCAAATGATTTTATGATTTTTTGGAGATAAAAAAATTAATAGGTGAACCTTTGATTTATCAGGAATGTATCTTTTTAATTAATCAATCTTTAATTTTTTTATCGTCTTTGACTTCTCTTTTCTCTAAAATTTTATCAATCAAACCAAATCCCAATGCTTCTTCTGCAGTCATAAAATAGTCTCTTTCAACTGCCTTTTCTGAAAACAACAAAAATATATTATTATATAGTTTCAGCTTTACTTCTAAAATCATCATCATCATCATCATGTATATTCATACCAATTTCTTCCAATGAATGTTTTTTTGTATGTTTTTTATAAATATTATTTAATTTTTCACGTACTCTTAAGATTTCTTTTGCATGAATAGCAATATCAGTTGCTTGACCAGATGTGCCACCAATGGGTTGATGCATCATTATAGATGAATTTGGCAATGAGTATCGTTTACCCGGCTCGCCTTTTACCATCATCATCATCATTATTATTGTGTTCGAATTCGTTGATATTATCATTAGATTCTTATTAATTAAAAACATTACCTGCTGCTAGAAGTAATGATCCCATTGAACATGCTTGACCATTACAAAGAGTGGATACTGGTGATTTAATATACTATTAATTATTATTAATAATTATTATGATTGTTAGTTTTTAGATTAAAATAGTTTTATAATTTTTTTTAGAAATCTCTATTTTCATACCTGCATCTTTTTTTCAAACAAGTAAATTTAAATATATAATATATATAATAATAAATTTTTTTAATTATTATTATATTAATTGATATTAATAATAATAACTTATCAGCTTCTTACAGTATCATAAATTGCCATTCCAGCTGTTACACTTCCACCGGGACTATTAATGTATAAACTTATAGGTTTATCAGGATTTTCTGCTTCGAGGAATAACAATTGAGCAACTATCACTGCTGCCACACTATCTTCTACCTAATCATATAATGACCAATCAATTGGAAGTTTTTTTATTTGGAATTTTTGTCTTTAATACTATCTAATGGATGGTAAAACAATGCTTTCTTTTACTTACATGACCATTCAAGCAAACAATCCTTTCTTTTAAAAGTCTAGAAAAAATATCATAAGAACGCTCTCCTCTTGTCTAATAGTAGCATTAATAATCATTAATAATCATTCGAGAATTATTTCCACAATTGATAAAGAAAAATCAATACCGTTTGTTCAACAACAAATGGAATTAAGGCTTGACCTCTTATTGGGATTTCGTTATTTAATGTATAATATTGTCCAAAATCACGTCGCTAAACATGTAAAACTTTGAGTAACTAACTGAAAATAATACTTGGATAAAGATTTATTTATCAAATTTATGTTACTTTGTTTATAGAATGCTTAGTCAAATTATTTAAAACTTGACAATTTCTAAAAAATCGTGTGGTAAGTAATGGTGAAGTCCTACAATAATAATACATTATTGATTTTTCTGAAGAAATTTTTTGATCAGCATTATATCGATCATCGAAATTATATGGGGCATATTGCAATATGACGAATTGATCAAATATGAAAAATATAAATTTGATAAATTATGAACTTCAGTTTGAGGTAAGAGGCGAAAAGTGTAGTAATGATTTCAGCGAGAGGATTAAAGCAATAATTATATATATGTATGTACTTGTAATAAAATTATAAAATTCATATCTAACTGTAATAAGAAAAATCAATCTTGTTAAAAATGTAAATGGGTGCGTTTATATTGTGAGAACGTGTCGAAGATAAGTATAGATATAAGATTATATACTACCAAATAAGTTTAATACTATTTTTAATAACAATTTACGTTTACCCAAAGTTTCAGGTTTAAACAATGGAAGGATTTGGTTCAACTCCAAAATCTATAACTTTATTTATGATTTTTTGAAAAGCTGTTTCTCTCACTAATATTTATTATTACTACTAACGTAGAGATATTTCTTTCCGGGCCATCTGGTGATGCTGGTTTTTTTTTGATTTTTGTGTATGATTTGTTATCGAGTTTTCTCTTATTACTATTTTTGATTTTCGTTTTGTGCAGTGGGGCCAGGGAATGGCCACTCTATTTCAGAGCAGATAACTTGCATAAGCTTCCTCCCCACAAACAACTCCCCCGCGACTAAGAATATTGCTGACGAATTGGTTGCTTCCATTTGATGTTGTATACGTATACGTTACCAGTAAATGAATTATATACTCTTTTTTCTAATATGAAGTAACTTTGTTGGTCTTCTTTTTGTTTCACCGATTCTTTACACGGAGAAGAGAAGAAACCAAACAGATGTGAAACTGATAGATCATGTATGTTAGGTTCTTCGTTCAAAGTTTTCAGATCCAAATTCGTTGCTTGAATGAATATGGCCTATTACTATGCAAAGCAAAAAAACACATTAATTGAAATAAACAATTATTGTTAAGAAAAGTTCCTTCAGGAATCTTCAAATCCTTAACATGATTAGGTTTTCTTTTATCTCCTGGATCATTACTTCTTGGTTATTTCTAAATGCCTTGAAGTTGTTTTAACAAGTTCATCATTGTACTATTTTACTATAAGCAATGCCTGTATAGCCCTTATTTCCACTTACACTCTTGATAAATACAACTGAGGATATAATTGATGACATTCTTGTAAAAAAAAGGCATTTTTTGAACGCAAACCATGAAGAGATCGTCAATTAATTGATGATTCGCAAATCATATATTATTGATATATATATATATATATATATTTCCTTGCTTTTTAGATGTAGGAATTATTGTTTCCGCAGCAAGCTCAATTTTAAAGTTAAATTTAACCTAACCTAAAAATAATAACAAATTGTAAATCTTTGAAATATTATTTATTATATTTGGCAAATGTTTAAAAATGGATTTTTTTTTATTTGTACAACCCAAAAAAGAACATTTTGAAACATTGATCACATGTAGCTCTAGAAAAATTGTCTAAACTCTTACTTAATTTAGAAATTTTAAAAATTGATGATACAAAAATAAATTCTTTAGTATCAGAATTGTGGGTAGTACGATTGTGGCGTTCTCATCACATAAATTATTTGTTCATTTTACGATTCCCATTTTGGAGGAATCAAAGGAATATTATTAATAAATTTAACGCATATAAGAAATATTTTTAGAATATAAAAAAAATTTTATAGATTAATTTACAAGTTCATTAATTATCATAATAATAAAGAGAAAATTTTCAGTTTTAATCTTTTTTCATTAATATTTATTTATTTATATTTTATTTGAGAAAATCAAGTTTTTCAATATTGATTATAACATAACATAATTTTATTTATTTAAAGAGGTATGAATATAGATCTGAATTCACTTCCTCCAGAGTTTCAATCTAAATTGCTGGTTTTACAAAATGAGTTAGCTGAGGGTTACATCACGCAAAAAGGGTTTGAAAAATCAAGAAATGATATATTACAGGAGTATAGGCAACAATTATCTAGTTCTTTTCATGATGATCAATCATATTATGAAGAATTTGCTTCGACTTTGCCAATTCAAAATTTGCAAATATCTGGTCTAGATTCAAACGAAGCCGCATCTTTTGATGATAGTGATTATGAAAATGAAATTAATCAACCACAGTTTTCTTCTTCACCAAATGAATTTTATTCTGAACAATATTACCCTAGACAATCATCATCTCCGATACCACCGCCGCCTCCTGATATTTATTATAATAATGGTATTCAACAATACCAAGAACAACAACAATATTTAAATTCACCAAATCAACAACAACTACTGCTGCAGCGACAACAGCAACATCAACGACAACAACAACTATTATTGCAGCGACAACAGCAACAACAGTTCCAGCAACAGCAACAAAATCCAAGTTTTCAACAACAAAATCAACACAGACAGCCAATTAATAATAACAACAATAATAATCATCAATCCTTACCTCCAACTTCAAGTACACACAGTTTATCTCAACCTCAAAGAGCTGTAAGCGCTGATTTTGATAGGGCGAGAGCGCATAATCGCAATCTAAGTTCTGATTCAGCCAATTTACGTAGGAATGAATCTCAACAACTAAAACCCAGAGACTCTACAAGAGTAGTAACGTCTCTTCCAAAAATTTCAAAACCATCAAATAGTTCACCAATAAACCCCAATTCACAACAACAACAACAATATCAACTACAACCGCCTTTACAACAACAAAGACCACCACCATCATTACTACCACCACCACCGCCACCACAACAACCATCACAACAATCATCGCCCCCTTCCGCTTATTATCAGATACCACCACAAAATCATGCGCAAATTAATTACGGACCATCACCATCAACACAACATCATCCGATGTCACAACGCCCACCACCACCACATATATATCAATCAACATTATATCCCAATAATGGTAATAATGGAGTTGGTCCAAAAATCATAAATAATCATCCTTTTGGACCTCCTATCAGGCCTACTATCCATCCGTCACGTCCACAAAGACAACCTTCCATTAGACCACCATCAGAAAATACAAATATTATTAGAACGCCATCATCTTATATTCCAAATACTGATATTATTAATAGAACTAAACCAGTCTATGAAAATCAATTTGACAGAACATTGAGTTTAACAGCAGGTAGAAATCATGTCGCGGATGATAATGGCAGCATTAAAGATTTTACTAGAATTAATGATGAATTTGGTACGTAATTTTGGTTTTTTTTTTTAGATTTTAAAATTAATTAATGTATATATTATTAATTTATTTTTTTTTAATTTATTTATTAGGAAGATTTGCAGACGATAATACATCAATTAGATCTAATCGATCAACTTTCATTGATTTTCAAAATGGAAATTCTAATAAATTTGATACAATGATTGGGCCTGATGATAGACCTATTGGAAGAAGTAAAAAAACATTTTCTATTTTAATGATTTATGTATTAAAAAAAGGATTTTGGATAAATTATTAAATTCATTTTGTTCTCACTTTATCATCTAGATGCCGGGGACAGAATGTCATTCTATAATAATAAGATATATTCAGGAATCTTGGATGCATTACCAAATCATGATCCAGAACTAGTAAAATTAGCAGGGCTACAATTCATGCCGTTTGAACAAAGAGAATTACATTTTGAAAACATTGATCCGCTTAATCCATTACAATCTTTGTCCGTCTTTACAGATATAGCATCTATTTTAAGATATAGAGGGCAATCGACACCTAATCAGACAGCATATATAGTTGTGGATTCAAAAGGCAGAGAGGTTGGTGATATGACATGGAAAAAGTTACATTTAAGAGCAGAAAAGTTGGCCCAGATTATCACAAGAGAAGGTGGATTGATGAAAGGTGATCGAGTAGCATTGATTTACCGTAAAACTGAAATTTTAGAATTCTTGGTGGCAATGTTTGGATGTTTTTTCGCTGGTGTTGTGGCCGTGCCAATTAATACCGTAGATGATTTTAAAGAATTGTTATTTATACTAGAGAGCACAAATACTAAATTAGCCTTAACAACAGAACAAGTTCACAAAGTTTTTACAAGGGATTTGCAAGCACAAAAAAAAGAATTGCCTGCATCAGTGTTATGGTGGAAAACCGACAATTTTGGCATGCTAAGTTTGAAAAAAAACGAGGAATTAAATGAAATAAATCTGGCAGACTTGGCATATATCGAATACACAAAAAGCCCTAATAGTGAACTAAAAGGTGTAGCAATAAGTCATAGAACTATTATTTCACAATGTTCTGTAATGAGAGGTTCAGTCGTTGACAATATAATTAGGGATCAATTAATTGACAAAAGACAAATGCAACAACAAAATCCTTTGGGTGTATCATACGATAGTAATGCCTTAGGCATGGGAAAATATGGACCTTTATATGATATTGTCTTAAGTTATTTAGAGCCTAGACAGCAGGTTGGAATATTATTAACTGCTTTTTGGGGAGTTTATTGTGGTAATATCACAATATTTTTGGCTAGCACAGGACCTGATGTACCCGGTCTTTGGACTAATTGTTTATCAAAATATAAAGGTAAATTAATTTTTTTGTTGAATTATTTTATAAATCGTTATAATATTAATTTATTTATTTTTACGATTTTTATTTTCTATTGTTGTCATTTAAAAGTTACAATTGCGTTGGCTGATTATCCAGGGTTAATGCCAATGGTTAAATCATTTAAAACTGATCCATCCGCAACAATTAATTATAATAAAAAACAACCACTAGATTTAAGGGCATTGAGATTTTTATTTATCGATACATTAGTAATAAATGTTGAGAAAAATGATGACATAATAGAAAATTTTTTAAGTAAATTAGGTGTAAAAAATCCAGCTGATGTATTAACGCCATTAAGTAGTTTACCAGAACATGGTGGTATGGTATTATGTTTTGGAGACTTATTAGGTGTGCCTGGATTAGATGATAGAAATGAAGGTGAAAGAGGCGTAGTAGAATTTTTGTTAGATAGAGAAGAATTAAAATCTAATAAAATAATGGTTGTCGGTATGGGAGAAGAGCAATGCAGAAAACGAAGCGGAGATAAAACACTCATGAGAGTTGGTGCATTTGGATTTGTTATGCCTGAAGGTAAAGTTATTTTTTTAAAAAAGTAATATGCTTTTTTTAAAAAAACTTCTTTTGGAATTATTAAATAACTTCATGTTTTATACAGCCACGATAGCAATTGTGGACCCAGAAACGACTGCATTTTGCCTACCTAATACAGTCGGAGAATTATGGGTGGATTCGTCTTCATTATCAGGTGGTTTTTGGAATTTACCAAAACATACAGAATCGATATTTCATGCAAGACCAATATTTGTATCAAGTGAAACCGGTATACCAGAATACTTTGAACAAGAATTTTTAAGAACAGGGTTATTAGGAGCATTAATCAATGGACAATTGGTGATATTTGGATTATATGAACAAAGAATTAGACAATTGGTTGAACCAGTACCAGAAGACAGTGTCAAGGTTCTAAGAGTTGTTAATCCTAATGGTACTGTTGATTCCGATGATGATGATGACGACGATGGTGGTGGTGGTGGTAATGATAATGATGATGATGGAAATAATGTTAAAGATGCTGAAGTAGTTAATAAATGGAAATTCCATTATACGCCGGATTTAGAAAATACTGTATTGAATAATATTGATGCTATAAGTGATTGGTAAGTGTATCAGGTTTATTATTATTATTATTATTATAAAAAAGGAAATTTTTTCTTTGCTATTTATTATTAACTTTAATTATTCTTTATTATATATAGTGTTGTAATTGAGATATATGCGAATGAACAAACTTTACCAGTATTATTAGGAGAATCATTATATTCATTAGATAAACTACCAAAAGTATCAGATGATGTTTATAATATCTTGTTAGAAAATCACGGTGTAAAAATCTATTGTATAGGCATATGTCAACAAGGTTCTTTGCCTAGAACTTGGAAAAATGGAAAGCATTTAGTCAATCCATTATATTGTAAAAAATTTTACGAACATGGAAAATTAAATTTTACATACATTAAAACAAATGTTCATGAGACCGTTTATAATTTGCCTGTGGGAGAAGATACTATGGCTGGAATTTGGGGCCCAAGTAAGTAGCAGAAAATGGTTTCTTTTTTAGATAAGAAAGTAAAACATCTATAATAAATGTATATTGAGTTTTTATTTTTATTTTATTTTTATTATTATTATATTGTTTGTGCAAAGATGCAATGGCAGCTAGGCAGGAACAATTAAACAGTAGTGCTTCACCGATCATCAAAAGACCACAAATAACAGGGATAGAACATACTGAAGAAGTTCTAGATGAAAGAACAGGATTAAATCTATTGAAATTCCGTAGCATAATTGATGTATTGTTATGGCGTACACTAATTTCACCAGATGAAACATCGTACAATGTATTAGATAATAAAGGTAAAGAAGGTAAACCTATATCATGGAAAAAATTAAATATAAAAATAGCAACGATAGCAAATTATTTACAAAAAAAAGGGCCAAAAGCTAATGATACCGTCATATTGATATATCCACACGGAATTGATTTTGTTTGTGCGGTATATGCATGTATGGTATTGGGTATTGTTAGTATACCAATACCACAAATAGAAATTTCTAGATTAAGTGAAGATATTCCGGCATTGTTTGGAATCATTGATGAATTCAAAGTTAGCAATATACTAGTTAACACAGACACAGAGAATATTTTAAAAAGCAAGACAGTTCAAAACTTTTTGAAAACAATGTCAACAACACCTAATAGTAGTACTAGTTCAACCAATAACAGAGATAGCGTTGGCATGAATTTTACAAGTAATGGAAAATTACCAGTCTTAATTAATACAACAAAAGCGCCAAAATACACAAAAACGCTTAAAGAATCTAATTATTTGTTACAAGAAGAATGGATAAATCCAAATCATACGGCGGTCATAATGTGTTATTTCAGTTCAGACCATGGAAAGTCGTGTGTTAGGTTGAACCATCAGAACTTACTGGCATTGTGTAAGGTACAAAAAGAAACTTGTAGATTGACCACTACAAGAGCTATAGTTAGCAGCGTCAGAAGTACATGCGGTATTGGATTTGTTCATACATTATTAATAGGAGTTTATCTTGGTAAGTAGCAGCGAGATTGAATTAATTGTCCTGCAATAACTAAATAAAATTATAAAAATATAAATCCCTCTTTTTTCCAAATTAGGATCACCAACTATAATAATTACACCAAATGATTACTCTGAAAATCCTTTAATCTGGTTTGAAACATTATCGAAATTTAAAAGTAAATAGTATATTTGTTTTCTTATTTCTTATTTTAAATATTTGGTTAATAATAATAATAATAATAATAATAATAATAATAATGTTTTTATTATATAGTTAAAGACACTTATGCAACATTTCCAATGTTACAACATGCTATGAAGATTTTTGAAACCGTTGATTATAAAAGTTTTTCTTTACAACATTTGAAAAATTTAATGATACCGATTGATACAAGACCAAACGCTAATCTATGTAAGCTATATATTTCTATATACATAAATTTTCCAAATTTCCTTTTTTTTTTGTTCATCATTTCTAAATATTTAAATCTATTGATTACAATTTAGATAAAAAAATTGTTCGAACATTTTTGACGAATAGATTGGATGATGTATCAGTGAATTATATATATAGTCATGTATCTAATCCAATGATAACAACAAGATCATACATGTGTGTTGAACCAATTGAATTGTATTTAGACTTAAAAAGTTTAAGGCGTGGTATAGTAAGAGTGGTCAATCCTGCGGATGAGCCCTATGGAGTTCTACTGCATGACTCTGGAATGGTATTTATAAATTAAATTAATCGATTCTTAAAAAATTAAGGTGAAATAATAAAATATATATTTTTTTCTAGGTACCTGTTTCTACACAAGTAGCAATCGTACATCCAGAAACAAGAAGGCCGTGCCTATCAAATGAATTTGGTGAGATTTGGGTTTCATCGGATGCAAATGCTAAATCTGCATTGTTAAACAATGATCCATTGGAACATGAAAGATATAATGCAGTAATAGATGGTGGTGATCAACGTTTAAAATATTTAAGAACAGGAGATTTGGGATTTTTATATACAGTACATAGGCCTGTTGGTGAAGGCGGTGCATTAGTAGAATTTCAATGTTTGTTCTTTTTGGGACCAATAGCCGAGACAATCGAGGTTAATGGGTTAATGCATTTTCCTGTTGATGTTGAATTTACAGTTGAAAGATGTCATCAGCTTGTAAATCCTAGTTTAATAGTACCTGATGGATGGTATGTATAATTTTATCATTCATTTATTGGTAAAAAAAAATCTCTTATTTTTATTTAAAAAAATTTTTTTAACATTAATTTATTATTTCAAGTGTAATATTTCAAGCAAATGATGAAACAATTTGCGCGGTAGAAGTGAGATCAGTTGATGGATTATTGAATTTAATACCTTGTATAATAAATTCAATATTAGATGAACATCGATTTATAATTGACGTCGTAGCTTTTGTCAGTTCTAATAATATGCCTAGGTCAAGACTAGGTGAAAAGCAAAGAGCCAAAGTTAGAGCAGCTTGGTGGACTGGTAATTTGTATGTATCGATTGATCTCTAATGTATTTTTATAAAACATAATTAATTAAATATTGTTGATGGTAAAATTTAATAGGGCAACATTACATATTCATCATGTAAAACCATATACAACGTCGACAAACAATCCTCGAAGGAATTATGGTAATAACTTTTATAACCCACAACAACAGTTATACGCATCACGATCTACAACTTCATTGGCAACTATACCTGTGACATATCAAACAATGATAACAAACCCTTCAATATCAAATCCATCTCCACCGACACCGCCGACACCGCCCACATCGCAAACAAATCCAAGATATTCAGAAATAAGTAATTATGATATAAATTATAATAACAATGATAATGATAGTACTAGGCATTCTCCTGTTGGTCAAACATAAAAGAGTTGATAAAACACAGTCAATTGAATTGTAAATTAATTGATACGAAAAAGCGTTTGAACATTTTAACACTTTTATTTACTTGTTCTTTTATAATCAAATACTATTTATTTATTTTTTTTAATACATCATATCATCATTTTATTATTTAATACTAAAAAATTTTTTTTTGTAATATTATGCATTAAATAAATATTTTATTCGAAAAATTATATGTATATTCATTCAATAATTTATTTATTCAATCAAATCGTTTGTTTAATAATTCAATAAATTAGTATTTTCTATTATTATTATTATTATTACTATTTTTATTATTTATTAATTTATTAAATATAAAATATGTTAAATAACAACTTCTTTGCTTTGTTGTTCCATTTCTTTTTCTTGCTGTTGAAATAAAACCTTTTCAATTTTGTCAGATTTGATGACTCCTTGATCAAAATTTGGAGGTTTAGGAATAAGACCTAAAATTCAATAATATATTTATACATAAATATATTAATAATCCTCTTCCTTTTTTATATATTAAATCATTATTGTTATAATTATTATTACCTAAAGTCTCAAACATTTCTTGATCTGAATCAAATGCATTGTTTTCGGTTGTTAATAATTTGTCACCTGTGAAAATTGAATTTGCTCCTGCAAAAAAACATAAAGCCTAATATATATGTATGTGTGATGTGTAAGTTTTGATTTTTAAAAAAAAAAATTTATTCAATTATAAAATATTTTTTTTTAAATACCTGTTCAGGATGCGAAAATCTTATTCTGCCTGCTGATAACCTTACCATTGATTTAGGCATTACAATACGAGCCGTAGATATCATACGAACCATTTCCCAAATAGAGACAGGCTAAATAAATATTAAGATAAATTTGATATATCAAAAACTTTCTTCATTCAGATATCATTATTGGGATTGAAACCCTTCTCCCATATTATTATTACCTCTTGTTTATCCAATGGTGTTCCCTCAACTTGTACTAACGCGTTGATCGGTACACTCTCAGGATGTTCGGGTAAAGTGGCCAGAGTGTGTAGCATTCCTACACGGTCATCAGCAGTTTCACCTAAACCAATTATACCACCTGAACATACTGATATTCCTGCATCACGAACATTAGTAATAGTTTGTAATCTTTCGTCATATGACCTTGTTGTAATGATCTATTAGCATTTATAATGACGGTTAAATTGGTTCAATCAAATAGCGTCAATACAAAATAATAAAATAATCGATTAAAAAACCTTGGGGTAATATTCTCTAGAAGTGTCCAAATTATGATTATAAGCAGTTAGTCCTGCTTCTTTTAGTGCTTTTGCTTGTTGATCATTTAACATTCCTAATGTGCAACAAACTTCCATTCCCATAGATCTAATAAATTAATTAAAAAAATTTATATTAAAATTGTATTCGAGTGAGTTGTCCATATATAATATTATCAATTCAATATACCTTATTTCTTGCACATAACCCAAAATTTTGTTGAAATTGGTTTTCCTGCCATTCAAATCTCTCCAAGCTGCACCCATACAAAATCTATATATTTATATATATCAAAAATTTAAATTTATTTTTTTATTAAAAAAATAAAAAAATAAGTGTGGTAATCTTCTAACCTAGTACTACCAGCTTCTTTGGCCTTTCTAGCAGACACTAATACTTCGTCGGCATCCAACAATTTTGTCGCTTTCACTTGAGTTTTATATTTTGATGATTGCGGACAATAAGAACAATCCTCACTACATCCACCAGTTTTTATGCTTAATAATGTACATTGTTGTACGGCCAACGGATCGAAATGTTCTCTATGCACCTTTGCCTAATATTTTTTTTTTATTTTTTTTTTAAATTTATTGTTTCTAGTAAAATGAAAAAATTGATATATATAATAATGATACTGACACCATAAAACAAAAGATCCATTATAGGTGAATCAAAAATCGATTTGATATCGTCTTTGGCCCAATTATTTCTAATTCTTCCATCGGCATATGAAGCAGCAGCCGATAATGGTCTTGAGGTCGTTGCATTACCTACAGAGGCCAATTTACATACATTTGTCACCGAATAATGTCTGGCCTTTCTTGTTACGGTAATAGGTGATAAGGAATTCTTTGTTTTTAAAATTTGTTGAATAAATGCAGACATTTTTTATTTTTTTTAAAGGGAGTTTTTAGTTTTTGAGAAATTTCAAGTTCGGTCAAAAAAAAAATATAGGATTAATGTAATTAAATATTAATTACATGAATGAGATTTTGTGTAATGTAACAGATAACGTTATCACATCTACGATTTATTATTAATAGTGTGTGTAATATAATAAAAATTCTATATTAACCTAAATTATACAACGATAAACCAAATTTATTCACCAAAATTTTATCTTTGCATCATCCTTCATCACTGGTATTATTACCGCCATCACAAAATCCTCACAACATATTAATTGCCGGTACCGATATATTTTTCATAATCATTTTCTAATTCTTTTAACCACAGTTCATCAATTTTTACTGTATCGGTTTTACTGCCAGCCGAGAATACACCATTTTGTTCCAATGAATTAATAATTGAGTAAATAGTTGTCGATGACATTTCTCGATTTAATTGTTTAGTATGATGATAATAATTTCGAGTTAATGTGTCTCGACTAATTTGTTTGATTGATATTAACCACATTGCCTTTATAAATTGGATTTCGTCGTTTGTTAACGATTTCTTATTGCAATGTTCATCTATATACGAACTTGAGAAAATGATTTTTGGATCTATTCCTGGGATTTTATATCTAGTCGCTGCAGTTTGGTTAGATGTAATATCTTCAGGTAAATCCATAATGCTAGTGGCAGCAGCGGTAATAGGAATTAAAATCCCTTTATCGAGGAATCTTTGAAATGCATCATTAGATGCTTTCATAAGATCTTCATAGTTCGGTTTAGTATACATCCATCTTTGGAATCGTGTTGCAAATGTTGTTATTATATAATCTCTTTTATATCCCTAAAATAAATAAATAATAAAATACTGTTTAGAAAAAATAAATATCCACAGTTACAATCATAAAAAATCATGTTGATATTTATCACCCTTCCTCTGATTAACTCGCGATCAAGGAGTTTGTTCAATTCAGCATCCTCTTCATTTATCGTCATTGGATGACTATTTTCATAATTTAAAAAAGTCTCGTTCAATTTATTCGCACGCAGGTTCTCATAAATTTGTATTGAGGCAAAGGCATCTTCTGCCGCATATTTAATCAGACTTGGATTCAACTTTGGAGCATCAAAATTGTATCCCCTAAGTTTTGTTTTTGATTTGTCTAATTTCAGATCAGAAAACATGTCTGCTAATTTACGCAACGAACCCGCGACATAACCTTTTTCCCTGGCCAACGCATCCAAATTAAATATTCCATCACACTGAATACCATACGATCTTTCCAACCAATCATTATCACCACTCGCATTCACACCAACCTTTAATACTTTATCATCTTTTAAAAAATTGATAAGTGATTGTGGACGCTCTTTGCTATTTTTGCTTATTCGATATATTTGTATTAACAAACAAAAATCATGCGTGGCTATTTGTATCATTGATACTTTGTGTGGATCATCTTTTCGAAAAATTGTTGTCTCTGTATCAAATCCAACGTACCCTGAATGCCATGGCTGATGTTCGTCCAATATTTTAAAACAATCTTCAACTAAAATAAATTTAAAATTGATTAATTGATCTGACCCATCGATGTGATGTGATATAATTTTCACCAAGTACAAATCGCATATTGTTAAATTACAAAAATGCAATGTGGTGTGTACACTATACCAGCTTTTGTATTTGCTAATTGGTAAATAGCCGGTTGTTCAGATACCATTGGTATTTTTCCAAGTTTTAGTTTTCTAATTATGGCATTTGAATTTTGGTTTTCATACCTTATTGTTGTACTCAACGAATATATTTTAAACTTGCCATAATAACAATTTTTTAATTGAAACTTTTTTTGCGTTATTTTACTACGTTTAAGTCCTTGAAATAATAGTAATGATAATGATGATAAAGGTGATGATGAACTATGATAATATTTTTGCATGTTTTTATAAAAAGATCTCTTTTTGACCTTTTCTATTTTTATCATATTTTTTTTGTTACACGTAATTTGGATAAAATCCAACCAATAAGAAAACAAAGATGAACAAAAATCATTGGTATAGTTAATAATAAGATCAAACAATTGAAGAGAGAGCTCTTATAAGAGTAAGGAAGGACACCACTTGAAATTTGAAAATACGTGATAGCTTTAAATTTTTATCTTTCATTGTTTATTCCACAGTTTGTTTCTTTTTGCGGTAAATTCAGACACTATTAAAGGGTTATCCTGTTTCCTTCCTTACACCCTCCAGGAAAATCGTATTATCGTAAATAATGTTGGTTTGAGCTCATTAAAAAAAGGAATTTAGTATCACATGTTTTTATTACACTTTTTTTTAAAAAAAAATACTAACCTCTTACATTGAACTTATACTAATACTAAGTACGAGTCCTATGTGGACGGCCTAAAATAAGATGTCTCAGATGTAAGCCGCAACTTCACGAACGACTCTCGTTATTTTTCTGTAATATACTTCAAAATAGATTACGAGCTACATTTTCTATTAATTGTGGGTCTGCAAGGTGTACAACTAAAAATCTTTGAACCACCCGGATTCGACTTGATGACCAGGTCAACATTTGTCTTGCAGCTTAGAGTGGATGTTTCTAAACCGCATTTTTTTAACCATGTCTTGTGTTTTAAACTCGAGGAGCAAAACTGCATGATGGTTTATCCTGCTAATCTTCGATGATCATTCATCCACAAGATTACGAATTTTATTGTGGATCCGGAGCATGCACCAACAGTGCTTATACCTCATACGCTTATTTGCTCGCTGTGAATATAATCCCTTTCACCTTTGATTCTATCATAATGCAAGCACAAGCGATGAATTCTACTAATATTCTCTTTCTAAGGCTCCAAACGAATCGAATTTTAAAGTGATTCGATTCGTGACTATTAATGGTTAAAGAAATTCTACATAATAATAAGTTACAGTTACACAATTCATTAATTGGTGATCCTTTGGGGGTGTCAAATTATAATTAATATTAAGTAATGTAACATAATGTTGATCAATAAATTTGCTTTTGCTACTAGTCCACAAAAAAAGTAAGGTTTTAGTTCCATATTTAGGTAAATCGTAGTACATAGTATGGTATCTATAGTTTATCGTTATAGAGAGATTTCTAATTAAAAAAAAAAGTTTTCTATTTTCCTATTTGCAAAATTCCCTTTTAAGGATAATGTTTTGATAATGGTCAGTGTAACATTAAAATATTTATTTATTTAACAAATAAAAGATTGAATGCTCGTCGTGTCACTGTTGCTTGCCAAAACTCGTAAATTCTTTTGCAGATTTCTGAAATCGTTTCCATATCTGCAGTTTTTCTTATTCTGGCATATTAGAGTCGTACGGCAAAGGTTTAATTTCTTATAAACTTGCAGAGAAAAGAGAAGAGGAGAGGGGAGGGAGGAAGGAGCGTAATTCATTTATATAGGTGATTTATAAGTTTGTGATCTGTGAAAACCTGTTTACTTATTCCATAGTCACAAATTTTAGAAATTGAATAAATAATTAACACGTATTAGAATGTCAGAAATTTCACATGTATCTAATTATTGTTATTATTTTTTCGTGTCATCAAAAACACCAAGAATCATCGGATAAAAAAAATCAAAATTTCAATTTTTTTAATAGTTTTAATTGGCCGAAATTACTTAAAAACTAACTTTCGAACTAATTGTTATGAAAATTGACAATAAAACATAATTTTGGACCTTATGAGCATTTTTGTTTATGGCAAGAAAGCATGTTTTTGCATTGATTTTAATGAAAAGTTCAACAATTTTAAGTTGCCAACCAACAAATGCACCTCAATTTGAGATCTACATTTATCCATTGATTCTTGATTCAGATGCATGAGATTATGGCTGTGAACCATTATCCAATCAATCAACATGCTTGTTACAAAATCATTGGTGAACATTCAATGTGTTCTGAATTGTTAAGACATGTGCCTATGCAACTACGTGTTTATTTTTACACCATACATCTTTCTTTTTTTTATGCTACATGAATGCGTTTATTGTCACGTCATCCATGCTGTAATGTTAATATGTGTTCATACATATGTTCCTACATCCATCATTGATTGTTGTTGCTGTCAATCGATGTGTTCGAAATTGTTAAGAGCACGTGTCTATGCAACTATGTGTTTATTTAGTACAATGCATGTTGTTGGGTTTCGATGAACAGCTGATGACATCAATTCTCTCATCTGCAGCAACTTACTGTTCGATGGTGAATGCTCTGATACTATTGTATCTTTGCCTATGGATGCCTTTAACCATGAAGTGTTTGACAATAGTGACTATCGGTTGAATTTTAAGAACCATACCAATCTTACAAAGGCTATCACATTGCAGGAGGGTGCTCACATAATGTTCCTAAATAATAAATTGTTTGAACATGGAATATGTAATGGGACAATAGGAGTAATCATCAAGGTAATTGATGATGATAGTGTTGAGGTCGCTTTCCCCACAGCTAACAATATCATAAAGATAAATGTTCAAAGAGAAATCACATACTTCACTATCAATGGAATACCAACATCCAGGAAGCAATTCCCAATTCAGAATACATTTGCACTCACTGTTCACAAGACACAAGGCCTTACACTACCACATTCAACTGTATCCATTGATGAAAATATGTTCGCCACAGTGTGGTGATGAGTAGGACACCTTCGTGGGATTCACTGGATATATTATCTTTTGATTTTGATTGCATAAAGGTAGATAGACATGTTATTGATGAGTACAAAAGGTTAAATCTCTTGAACCAAATGGCTTGAAAGAATTGATTTAATAAAAAAATACCTTGTAAAAAAAAATATTAGAAAATTTGGTTTCAATTAATAAAAATTGTTTTTCATTTTTCACCTATCAAAAAATTATGCAATCAGAAATTAATATATTATGATAATCATGATTATTATATTTGTATGTAGTAGTCCTACTCTAAGCCTGAAAACATCCATCATCTTTGAATGTTTTAAATACTGTTAATTCTCAAACTCATGAAAAATAAATGATTTATGAGGAGGAATTAAAAAAAGGAATATTGCTTGGAGGTATTTTAAACAAGAAGGTGATGTTGTGGAATATCATGCAACTCTAAAGCAAAGTGATAAAAGAAATTATGTGTGGAAAAGGATTGATGGCTAATAATTAAAATTAATTTTTTCTCATTTCATTTTTATGCACACGCGTATAAATTTTTTTTTTGAAATTTGAAAAAATAATTTTTCGAGTATGTTTTTCTGCGAATTCGGAAAATCTCGATGGCTCACTTTGCTTCCTCATTTGTAAACTTGTTGCGGTATTGATTTAACCATAATGACATTAATTATATTTGTTGATTCTTCTATTGACCGGCGGGGAAAAAATGTCACAAAAACTAACCGCTAATCGACTATATACATTTGTTAGAAAAATTGTACTATTTTTTATGTCTATAGATAGAATATAACTCAAAGATTATATATGTATATATAAAAATTTTTTTCATTTATATTACAAAAAAAAAAGTTTATTATGGAGGAGTCATGGACTCGAAGGGTTCTTTTGCCTTGTGCAATGTATATAATAATAATAACGAATACGCCATTTGGCTTAGTTAATCTGTTATTATTATATTAATAATTTATATATGGCACATTGGGTGTTACATATCAGCATAAACACAAACATAGTTGAGCACACAATTTTTTACAAAGAATACTTTTTTTACAGCGTTGTTAGTTTTTGTAACCCATCAATGCTCACAGCCTCCAATCTTTTATACTCTTCCAAAGCCGTCCTGGAAATTTTTAATTGAGAATAATCAAAATCAAGGATTTGCAGTCTTTCCAATGAGGAGCTCGACTCATTGCAACATACACTTGCCCTTCAGCAAACATACTTTCGTCAACATTCAACATTAGATGTGGCAAGGTCAAACCTTGAGTTTATGAATAGTCAGAGCAAATGCATTCTTCATTTCTATAAAGAGCAGTCCCACTGATTGTTCCCTCAGTGGAAGTTACATGTTTAATGAAACAATTGGCAACAAAAATATAACACATGTTATTTTATTGTTTATTATTGTTTTTATTATTATTTGTATTGTTTATTTTAACGATTTATTTATTTTTTATTACAATTTACGATTCACACTCTACCGCAATTTTTTATATTGACGAGGATTTCCTTCACCACTTCAAAAAGGGCATGGTTGTTAAATAATGAATCAAATTTTTGAATTGTTGCATTTCTCTTCTTCACAATAAGCATCAGGAGAACCTTTTCGAAGAAAGCTTCATTCAATTCCTTCAACAATAACGTTTTTTTTTTTCACATTTTCAAAAAAGGCGCGGTTTGATGTTTTAATTAAATTAAAAATTGAATTAATTCCGAATCATTACATTTTTTCTTCACACTTTAGAAAAAGGCATGGTCTTTTTATTATTAGAAATAATATTTTAATAAAACAACTTCCCAAATTGTTACATTTTTCTCCATTTTCCCCAAAAAAACTTTATTGATTTTAAAAATTAATTAAATAATTTTTTTTAATTCCAAATTGTTTTTTTTTTAGTGGTGATGCTAATATATACTAAATCTTTTTATTAATATATTATATATATATATTGATAAGTTACATCACTTCAACTTATTAGTGCTATAAAAAAATAAAAACATTGATTGAAAAGGTAAGAAAATAAATAATACTGCAA